TTATTATTTTTATTATTATTATTATTATTATTATTATTATTTTTTTTTTTTTTAAATAAAATGCTGAAGTGGTAGGTAGATGCAAGATAAAGGTAGAAAACATAGTTAGTTTAGTGCTGTAAGAGAGCAAATGTAGATGATCAGATGTGTGCCTGTAGACTAAGTGTTAATCCAAGCTAGACAAGGGCAATAAAACAACCACGGGTGCAGAAGATTTCTCTCAAAACAGTGGGGGGGTGAGGTTCTAAGCCTCACCTCTGTTGCAAACTTTTTGATTATCTATTTCTTTCAATAAAAATGTCTGGAGCTCATAGCTCCCATATATGTACTCATGCTGATTTATAAATGTATATTTATAAGTTCATTGTGTACACAAAATAGAAATTTATAAGTATGAAGTGAAAATAAATAGAAACAGCACTTGCAACATTTGATTTCCGTTCCTCAGAAGACTACTGAAGGACTTCACAGAGTATATACACTCTGGTTGACATGCATGGTCTATGCCAAGAGCATAAAAAGTCTGGAGAAGCTGGAGGAGGGTCAGAAGGGCAGAGAGAAGCTTCACAGGCAGGCTGGTTTTATGAGCAGGGAGGCTTGGGGGATTTTGAGAAGGGGAAGTACTATAATCAGGAGGGTTTTTTTTCCTACACTCATACCAATTGTAATTTTACCTTTCCATCTAACTCTGAAACATCTTTGAGGGATACTGTCTTGGTTTTTCTCATTTTATACCCCCAATGTCTAGTCCAGTGTTTGATCATGGTGGGCCCTCAAACACTGGTTGGGTGAGAGAATGAGAGCAATGAGTTACAGAGTAGTAATAAGAACTATGAAAGAAACAGGCAAGCTGGCGGGGGGGCATTCTTGTGGAAAATGGCTCTGCTTTGGTCCATTATGCTGTGCTAGGGTCCTTCAGGTGGCTGGTGAGAGAGAGGCTGAGGCTGGGTATTCAGATATAGGAGCTAGAACCATAAGTGATTACATGTTCCTTGCACCTCAGTGCACAGGACTTATCTTCAGGGGGCTCCTACAGCTGGCAGGAGGGTGTGCGGAGAAGACAGGGCCACGCAGGAGACAAAGACAGGGGTCAGAGTGGGAAAAGTAAAGACAGTGGATTGTCAGGAAGTTTCATGAGGGGAATAGTGACAGCATTGAATCCATGAGATCAGCGAGAAGGAGGCAAGAAAAGTCAGAAGCTGAAAGCCTCTTTCTTTACTTAGTGCCAGCAGTCTTCCTAAGGAGCTAACAGCTAATGCTTTATGGTTTGTTGGGATGGTCAAATCAAGTCTCTCAGAAATGGTTTTTGGCTCCCTGATGTCTGGGTGTGTAGTTCCGTTAGACTAGCTAATGGAGGCACTATTTTACCGAATTCTGTAGTCTCAAGGGGCACGCTCAGTCGGCAAGCCAAAGAGGCTGGAGTTCAAAGCCAAGTTACGAAAGGAACTATTCTATTCTTTTCCCTCTGAATAGGTTTATATTTGGAGGTTTTGAAGTTTCTATATTGAAAAAAAAATTTAACTGCACACCTTTTGTGGGAATGGCTGGCAACAGGCACAGTGTGTGAGGAAAGGCTCCTCTGAAAACTCTCCCTGGCCTGACTCCCGTCACCTGGCTGATGGGGGTCTTCTGAGGATGCTGAGTCATTTACCAGCTGGACTGAGACCTGAAACAAGTGAAGAGAGAAACCTGGGCTAGGCTCTGCTTCCCAGTGGTTGGGCAAGCTGGCTAGGCTGCACCTCTCACCCCTTCCTGCCACACACCGCACACCTGGGACGAGTGCTCTCAGTCCTCTCAATTTTAGGACAGAAAAGATGTGAACAAACACCACAAGAAACTGCTCTCCTCCTTACAATCGCCAACTGGGGCCTACTTACATTTTTGTTTTTCTCAAACAGCGTCCTGGCTTCATTTAATATGTACTGTTTTTCTTTAATGGTGTCTTCCATCTGCCCTGATGCCGCCTGCCATTTCCTCGCAAGCCTGAAAATTCTTCGGTAGAGGCCAAGAACTTCCTGTCGTGTTGCTGTTGTCATCTTCAGACCCACCAAAATAGGAGAGAATTTGCATAAAATTCAATTTGACAGTAGGCAGCCAGGCAGATGTACACTTTTTTTAATCAAGCTCTTTAATTAGTCTAGAAATAATTGCTCTTTCTTAACAAATCTGTTTGATAGCATTGCCAGAATGGCATTGTAGGAATACCGGCTGTCTCTTGGCTGCCTTGGGCTTCATCCCATGGTTGAGGATTGCTGTTTACTGTAACAGCCATTTTTGTAAACATGGCAAAACCGAAATTTATACTTCACTATTATTTAAACTGGTAAAGTCATCACCAGAGTATCTTATGAATGATGCTTTTAGTGTGTATTCTGATAGAATTACATCCCTAACCTGAGTGCCTAGGAGAAGGCACATTTTTGAATAACTGAAAAATCCTATATAACTGAGTATATATAACTGAACTGAGTAATTGAGTTCAAGTAGAACCTGAATTTAATGCAAGGGCTGCAAACTCAAGTGCTTCTGCAGCCTGGCAGGTAACAAAATGAGGGAACTTGGCTCAGTGGGACAGTGTCCAACTGGACAAAATGTGCCCCCTTGAAAGGGAAGGGTTACTAATTAGCCCCAGCCAGCTGCTGCCACGTAAAAATGAGGGTCGAGGGATGCCTGGTAGTTCAATAGTAAGTGGCAATCCAGATTCTTAAAATGTGAAATCTCAGAAGACAGTAACTCATTATTTTTGCAAGTGAGTGCCATGGAGGCCAAACAAAATGGGTCCTCAGGCCTCCCTTCTAGCTCATCATAACCTTGTTGAAAATTTTTGTCAAATTGTTAGTCTATTTCCTTGTCCACAGTAAGAACTGTACAGTAAGTATAATTGAAATCTTTGATGACTGAAGATCTTGTGACCCTTCTGACTTTTTACTCTTAAATATCAGTTTCAATTTCAGAGAACTTGACTGAGTGAGACCCCACCCGAGAATATTCCCTAATGCTAACTATATTTTTAAAAATTAAATTCCTTCAAGATATTTTTATTATGAAATATTGCAGATATTCAAAAAGATATAAAAATAAGTCATATATTCACAGTGGAACTTAAAAAATAAATTATATAGTTGAAAACCCCATTGTATCCCTTCCAAATCAAATTATTCTTCCTCCTCCTAGAAGAAACCACTATCCTGAATTGTTATCTTTCCCACACATATCTCTACACTTAATATTATATAGTATCTCTTAGCAAATTTAAAAACTCCTACAAAAGGTATTATATCCTTCTGCAATGAGTTTTGGCCCATACTTGTAAGATTCATGCATGTTGTTCCATGTATCTCTAGTTCATATATTCTCACTACTGCAATTTAACTCACTGTATGAAGATTTCCTAATATACTTCTCTGTTCTCTTGATAATGGACAGTAGGCGTTTCCTTTTTTTAAAACTTAAGTAAAAACTTCAGCCTATTTCTTTACTATTTACTTCTACATTCAAAAGAATTTCAGGGAAGATAAAGGAAAAAAAAAAGTCCCACTACTTGATGACTGGTTCGTCAGATTTAGAAGAAAGAATACTGTACTGCCATTAACAAATGGGCAGACTGGGAAGACAAGCAGGACAGAGTTGGTGAGCAAGCAGCAGGGCCAGGCACCGGGACACCTCATTATGAGTCCTGGGCTTTCCTCAAACAGGCTCATCAGGATCAGGAAGTAAACTGTTCACAGCCCTTTGGGAACAAGGCCCACTTCCAACTAAAGTAAGAGAGGTAAGACATGGAGATTGTATGCTTTAGGGTGGCCCAGAGCTTATGAGAGTTTGGACAGCTAAAGAATGCATATGGCAGCTGGACAGACATGTATGTATCTAAACATTCTAAGTACCTGCAAAGAATCCACCTTACAGAGAATTTCTTTAAAATATCATTGCCCCTCCTACTTATCCTGACCCTGGTAACCTTTCTTGAGCAATTAAGAACAAAGGCTTAACCATTTGATGTAAGCCTTGAAAGCACTATTCACCGGATTCAAGATTCAAAAGTTAAGATGACCAAAGTTATGTTAATACCAATTCTGACATCCATGATGCTTCATAGTAAAAATGCTTAAAAGGAATTCATAAAAACCAAGAGAACAACATGCTTTGTGGCTAATTGTAATAAAAACCCAGATGAAATGATGACATTTTTCCTGGTAAGGAAACAGCTTTCTGAGTTTCTGGCTTTCCCTAAAACTCCATGGTTTCGTATGAAAATAAGTGAGTCAGTTCCTGTGAGGACAGGAAGTCTAACTAATTTCTATTAATGACTGCTTCACTTCCTCGTCATTAACAGATAAAACTTCCTTGCCGGCGTGACACTTGAGGGTGAAGGAGGTCTGGCATATTAAAACAGCAGCAACCTTCTCCAAAGCCTGACTTTCACTGGTTTCTTACTACTACTCTAAGAACCACAGGTTCAAACTGTGACTGATCAGGTACCATAATCTGATACACAGCCTGGCAATTAGGGTGCTCGAGGTAAGAGCAGTACAAACAATTGTTACTTAATAGGACTATTTTCAAAATGCTTTAATTAATGTTTGAGGGTTTTGAAAACTCAACCTGAAAGGAAGATAAGTGATGTCTCTCTTTCCAACATCAGGAGATCCACAAAAACCAAGTCCAGGGAAGGGTTTAAAGCTGTATTCCCCTCAAGTACTATTAACAAGGCTGCCTGTCACTTCCTTCCAAGTCCTGACATAAAAAGGAAAAATGCTTCTGTTCTTTTCTTGTTGGACTTCTTTTAGTTCTTGGAGGGAATCATGTTCTTTCTTACCTTAGGGGTACATACCTATGCTATTCCCTCTTTCTAGAATGCTCTCCTGTGACCCCCTCCATTTTGCATAACCGACCTGTACTCATCCCTCAGTTCCTAGTGAAATCATGATGTCTCAGAAGATCCTTTCCCCTCTCTCCTGACCACATGTATTCAATCAGGTCTCTGTTGAAATTTTCCAGGGATCCTTGCATTTCTTCTTTCTAGCACTTACCAGTCACTCACTGGTTAACTTGTCTTCTCCCAAGACGCTAACCTTTATGGGGACGGTAACATTCATTTATTTACAGCTTGAATTCTCAGCACCTAACCAGGCACACAATCGGTATTTCCCAAATGGCTGATGAATAAATGAAAATATCTCGTGCTACAGAAAGCTCTTGATTCTAGAAACAAAATCAGGCATATAAAAAAGTTTGTAAATGCTCTTTATATTTCGGTTTACATTTTTGTCTGTTCCTAAGCAACCTGTTTAGAAAAAGTGCCTTTTCCCTAAGAGTTTTCCTTCTTATACATTCAATGGCTTAAAACCAGCATTTATTCTAAACTATCAGTGATTTCTCACTATTGATGCAAAGGAGAGGCAGCCCTTTTCCTTCTTCACTAGTATCAGGATTGATTCAGTGCAGTGGGGTGCTGGAATTTCCCTATGGATGACACTGGGAATATCAAATCATTTAGAGGGCCACAACTGAACTGCAGTCTCAACTGGCCATGAAGTCTATCTATTCTTACAGAATTTTTACTGTTAGTCTTATAACATTTATTCTGAGATAAGCAATTCTTCAAACTCTGCTTCATTTTACCTCCTTAAACCCCAAGCCCCAAAATGAGGAAAGAGAGGAGCTATCGAATATGCCTCTTCAGAAGGAAATGTGACTGGAAACTGGCCTCTTAAAACCATACCCACGTACAAACAGTGAAGAGATAAAGTTCATTACCAATTGCCAAGCACCTACCACGTGCAGCCTGAGCCACTAAGAAAAGGCTGATGAAAATGTTGCTGCTGGTGTGTTTTAGCTTTTGGTCATAGTGGGAAGAAGGTTCCCCTATAGCAGGTGTCCCAAAGATTGTTTGGGGAGGGGATTTTTGATGTATAATACAATTATTTCTTACTTTGATTCTTTAATGTGTTTTAATAGCCTATCACATCCAGGATTTACAGGGATTCCAATTTTGTAGTGATATAGAGCATCCTTTTAATAAATGCATTATAAAAAATTTAAAGTTGGTTTAAAATACAGGTAAATAATAGTAAAAAAAAATAGGTAGAAAATAGTAAATAGTAAAAAAATAATAATAAAAAAAAATAATAGTAAATGTGGAGTCTGAAGAGGTTTAGGAGCCACTGCTCTAAGGTGCCCTGCTATGCCATGCCTTGGTGTTTGTTATGACAGAGCCATCCACTTTGAAGGCCTCTTTCCTGCTACCCACCCTTGCCTTCTACCTAGTAGACACCTATTTACTTTCAAGTTTTTCTGAAGCAACTTTCTCTTTCTGCCATAGCCTGCTTTTGCTGTTTTGCAATTTCATTGTGCTTTTCCTTTCCAGAGTCTTTGAATTCCTAGAGGGCAGGGGCTGTGTTTTGCTCATTAGAGTAATAATAATACTTTCTTTGTGCCAGAGGCTTTGCTAGGTGCTTAGAACAATTCTATTCCCTTTCTACAAACAGCAAAAGACCGCATTTTCTGCACCTTCAGATGAATTACAACCTTTTTATAAAGTTTCCCACATACTGTCTGTCCCTCCCCCTCTACTGCAACTGCCCTTCAAGAATTAGATTACACAACAGCCCCTGTAGAGAACACTCTGCACTCGGCTGGATGCTTTTCTGTTCCCCTTAGCAACCCACATGCTGACACTCCAGAGAGAGCTGACTTCATAGAGGAGACCATGGCTCATTACAGGGCTGCCACTCTGCAGGCCTCACCCATTCCTCCCAAGCATCCATCCATTCTTTTAGCATTTTTTCAGTACTGTGTGCCAGGCACAGGTGATTCTAGGGATACAATGATAAACAAGCAGCCATGGTCTCTGCCCTCCTGGGGCCTATATTCTAGTGGTTGAGGCAGAAGATGTAGAAAAACAACTTGTGATAATGAAATGTACACTGTCTAGGAATGAAACAGGAATAGGATATGAATGAGCAGAGGTGGGGGTTATTTTGCGTAGTCAATGACATTTGAACCAGTCTTGAAAGGTATGAAGGAGCCTACTAAA